AGAGCAGGAGAGGAGGGCTGCAGGCACAGGCAGGGAACTGCATGGCCTTGGGCAGGAGCAGTGGGTGCTTTGGGTGCAGGATGAGCAGCCAGCGTGGCGCCAGTGCTCTGGGGAAGACATCAGGGTGTATGGAGCCTGAGGGCAGCCTGTGCTGCAGGAGAGGGGTGGGTGGGTTAGAAAGATGCTCTCTTTTGGTCCTCAAAAGCTGGGAATCAGCCTTAAATATAGAGCAGAAAGGCATGGCCGTCATGCGTGCTTTCAGGCCCTGGGTGCCATCAGCTGAGAAAGCTGTGACTTGCTGTGAAGTGTGAACAACCCCAAATCATCTTCCTTGTTACCCGCATCACAGACATCTTGTGCCTTTTCCATAGACATGTGCATTCCAATTACTTTTCCCATAGAATGTTTTGGGTTGGAAGAGACCCTTTAAAGCTCATCCAGTTCCAGCCACCCTGCCGTGAACACAGACATCTTTCAATAGACCAGGTTGCTCAAAACCCCATCCATCCAACCTGATCTTGAACGCTGACAGAGATGAGGCACCCGCAGCCTCTTTGGGAAACCTGTGCCAGTCTCTCACTCCCTCATTGCAGAGTATTTCTTCCTTTATTATGTCTTTCACCTCTTGAGTTCCTGCAGTTGAAGCTCTGCATAGTGAGGCTGTGGGCTGGGGGAGTGGAGATGGCTAAGCAAGACAGCAGTGGGCTTCCCATGGCTGCTTCTCCTCTGCCTTTGCCTTTTGGCAGCCTGGAGGGTTAGATCAAGAGGCAAGGGACAGTGCTGCAGAGAGGCTTGGTGTTTGGCTGGAAACAGCTAATGCCTCCAGCGGGTACCTCCAGCACTCCAGGGTGGCACTGAGGGGGCAGCTGTAGTTAAATGCAAGATGTCCATGAAGAGCAGACCTCGGAGTGAGCTGGAAGGGCTTTGGATGGCCATAGCGATGAGTTCACAGGGGACCCCAGAAGATGGAGGTGGATGGAAGTGAAGGCAGAGACGCTGCCACGAGATGAGCATGTGAAGGGCAGGGAGAGTTGTGGCCGCTGGGGTTTGTGTTTATCTTTGCTGCAGTGATTATTTTCAGATAGTGGTGTGAGAGAGTAAAACGTCAGCCCCTGCTATTAATAGCGCTGCAAACAAGGCTCCTGCTGCTGCTGACAGGTGAGATGAAGTTAATTTAGGTATGAGAGTGCACAAACAAGACAGGCCCTGAGTCAGTGCACTCGGTCAAGAAGAGATGGTGAAGAGACCCCCCTCCAGCCCTGAGGAGGGGCAGTGTGGCATAGCTTTCCCGGGATGCTTCCACCCCTCTCCATAGTAAGCAGTGCTGGGTATGGAGGGGAGCTGCTGGGATTGCTGAAACATGTTACTTAAAAGCAAGCTGAAGACCTTCAGGGTTCCTGCTCTGAAACAGGAAGGTTTTCCCAGAGGAAGGAGGGTCTTAGCCCAAAGCAGCACATGATAGGAGCCCAAAACAGCTTTCGGTAACAAATCCCCATCCGGATGGGATGCAGCTCCCCAGAGGAGGGAATTGACAATTCCATGGGTGAAAGCTTCTCCTGGGCTTATTTGTCACCTTGTGAAATTTGAGGTGCCTTCATTAGGCTGAAGGATGTGGCTGCTGGTGATGCTCAGATCAAACACAAGGTGGGCAGCAGAGTGAAAGTCTTGGGGATTGATGGTGCTGGTGTAATCAAGAGCCAAGCACAGCTCACATTGTTTGAGCAGATGTGTCCTGTCTGCCGCTAATTATAAGCATTTTCGTGTACAACACACTGGGAGATGTGCCAGATACAGTTTCTTTTCACATTGAACTCAAAATCATTATAATTAAGCCTTAAAGTTGTAAGTAAAAGCTAACAAGGAGTATGGGTTTACCGTCATGCTGCTTGCAACCAGGCTGGTACCCACTGAGATGGATGGGTGTGAGGGCACAGGCTGTGTCCTGGAGGGTGGTCGGAAGGATGAGAAGGACCTTGTGGGCTCTGCCATGGTGGGCACGTCCTGGTTTGGGTTTTACATAGGCAGAAGACCCAAAAATACTAGAAACGTGCCATTTTGCAACTGTGGGAAGCGTTGCCGAGAGAGTGTTAGCAGCCTCTTGGGCTTGGTAGGCACAGAGGAGAGGCGCTTGCTAAGAAAGAAATAATCAGGAATAGAAACAGGAAGCATTCAGAGAAGCAATTCCATAACCTCAGGCTGAGAGGAGCCGGGGTTGGCATCTCTGGTTCGGGGAACACAAAGACAGGCTTGCTGAGAAGCAGCTCCAGGAGTCACTGCCATGCACAGGGCTGGGTGACAGGGATGTGGTGGCAGTGACACCGGTTGATGACTACGTTGTGGCACTTCTGGGAGCTGCCTCTTGACTGGGTGGGTGATGGACACAGCATTCTGTGTCCCAGGGGAGCATCCCACCTCTGATCCCCAAACACGGGGGTACATGTGAACCCCCTTTTGTACTACCCCACAGGAGCTGAAATTGGTGGCTGTGCATGTAGGGGTGAGGGTCATTGTGGCCCTTATTTTGTAGTGTGTTTGCCATGCAGCCAGGGGGATGGGCTGGGGTTGTGTTGGGCAGATCCCCCACATAGAATCATAGAATGGGATAGGTTGGAAAGGACCTTAAGATCATCCAGTTCCAACCCCCTGCCGTGGGCAGGGATGCCTTGCACTAGATAATGTTGTCCAAGGCTCTGTCCAGCCCAGCCTTGAACACTGCCAGGGATGGAGCATTTAGTGCTTCTTTGGGCAACCCATTCCAGTGCCTCACCACTCGCCCAGTAAAGAACTTCTTTTTTATATCCAATCTAAATGTCCCCTGTTTAAGTTTTAATCCATCACCCCTTGTCCTATCACTACAGTCCCTGATGAAGAGTCCCTCTCCAGCATCCTTATAGCCCCGTCAGACACTGCAGTGCTGCTCTGAGGTCACCACACATTGAGCAGTTTAAAGCAGCTCTGGAGCAGCGAGAGGCGAGCTCTCAGCCCTGTGATTTGTATTCGCAGGGAAGGCGACTGCTGGGTTTCAGCTCTTTGAGGTCTTCGTCTGGGGTTGTGTGTGAATAAATGATGTCTTGAGATGCAGGTGACTGCAGGGAACAAGCTGCACTGTCACTGTGGCAGCGGAGGAGACAACTGCTCCTGATAAATGGGTCAAGATGGGTCCCGGGGTTTCAAAAATTAGCTGTTGACCTAGATAGCGACAGCGGGATGACTTGCAGTGGGAACAGAAGCGAGCGTCGCTGGAGCTGCGCATCGCTCTGAAGGTGGGGACGAGCCTGGTGGGCTGAGTTGAACCTGGGCTGGTTCCCTGCGCTTCCTTTGTGCCAGGCTTTTCCTCAGCAGCTGGGCTGTGCCATGGGGAAGGGTGGGAGACCTCGGCCATCTCTTTCTGATGGCTTCACTGAGCTGCGAGAGGTGTTTGTCCTGCAGGCAGCAGCTGGGGAGGCACCTCCTGCCACCCTGTGCTTTGCACTCCTCCGGTAACAAAGGACTCTGAGGTGCCTTATTCATGCCCTTGCCCCTCATTTTGCAGGGCGAGCAGTGCTGTGCACCCCTGAGCACCCACCTGGGCTGTTCAGTGCCAGTCCTTATGGACATGTGCCATGCCATGCATGGGGAGGTTGACAGGGTTGATGCTAAAGATAGAGACCAAGTCAGGTTTCCTTCTCCTTAGCACTGGACAGAAGGTCAATGCCTGTGGAAGGTCATGGTGTACCAGGGTTTTCCCTGTGGTGGGGTCCTCTTCCTCTGGATGAAGCCATGTTTCTCCTGAGCACTGACAGTCAGCACTTTCCTTCCCAGTGACAGACCTGTCCATGCCCCTTGTTAGCTGCAGTAATTGAACAGTGCCTTTCTTGGGTGTTAATTAAGCAATATCCAAGCTAAGGTTGCAGTTGCCCTATGCTGACGTTGGTCTTTTCAGTTCAATTGGTGACACTTTTCCTTCACAGGACTTCCTGTAAAGATCTTTAGTTAAGACCTGAGTAGTTCGCTACTTGAATTTCATTTAAGTTCACTTGCTGGTGGGGCCAAGTGCTACTGCAGTACTCCACAGTTACAGCAGTTTCCAGTGGCATTGGCTTTAACATTTGCCTAATACAAGCAGTGGGATAGAATGGCATCAGTGCTTCTCTCCAGTGAGGTCCAGTTTTATTTGAGCTTCATAACTGGGGCTGTGGTTGGAGTGCTTGGCACCCTGGGGTACTTGCCTTGAGCCTAGCTGGATGCCCTTCAAGTTGCTGGGCTTTGATTAGGTTGGGTTTTGCTTTGGCTGCTTGAATGCATCATTTGCTCTATACCAAGCCTTCAGCCCCATGGCAGAGTGTCAGTGCTGACCACCCTGTACACAGAAAGTGCAGCCTCTTGGTTAAGCCACGTTCCTGGAGCATTGTGTCTGCTGACCAGTACTGGGGCACAATTAAGGGCAGGCTGGTTTTGCTCGCTGGTTAAACCCTACATGGTTTTGGTCTGAGTTGCTTGAACACCATGTTTCCAGCTCTTGAGATGCTCTTGCCTGGTCTGCAGCAGAAGCGTAGCAGCTGCAAAGCAAGGGTGACCTGACCACAAGCATCCCAACCTGTGGGGGGAAGATGGGGTGGGTGAGCCTGATCTTGCACAGGAGGTGCTCTTTCTGGGTGTGTACGTGGTGTTTTCCCTTGTTAGTGCTCTGCCCTTTCATCATCAGTTACCCATCATGTGCCACTGTAAGCTGAGGATCACTGCCCATCTGTACTTCATAAAGCTTGGTCCCTAGGAACCTTGTTTTGGTTTGTAGTGACTTCCCTGTGCATTTCCTTTGGGAAAACAACATTCCCTTCACAGCATCAAGGGAAAAGAAAGTTTGGCTCTTCTATAGAGAGGTCATTAGTCCCCACATGTGGCAGAGGGGTGATTTCTGACCCCAAGCCCACCTCCCATCACTGTGATTGTCAACGGGTGCTTTACCTGCCTTCCCCATCCTGGATAGCCAGTGGCTACATGTGCTGCTTTATCTCCCGCAGGCTCCTGCTTCTGGGTTGCCGTTCTGGACGGCAACGTGGTGGGGATCGTGGCAGCACGGGGCAACGAGGAGGACAACACAGTGGAGCTGCGCCGTATGTCCGTCGACTCCAACTACCGCGGCAAAGGGATCGCCAAGGCCCTGGGCCGCAAAGTGCTGGAGTTTGCCATGCTCAACAACTACTCCTCCGTTGTGCTGGGAACCACGGCCGTGAAGATGGCAGCCCACAGGCTCTACGAGTCCTTGGGGTTCAAGCATGTGGGTGTTGTTGAACATTACGCCCTGCCAGGCATGACGCGCTCCTTACTGGAGAGAATGTTCTTCCAGCTCCGCTACCACCGCTACCGCCTGCAGCTGCGGGAAGAATAGAAACCCACCCAACCAAACGAAACCAACAAAATATGCGTTTTCTTTTTCCTTCCTTCTCCCCCTTCACAAAATAATAAACCACCCTCCTCCTCCTCCTCCTCGCCACCCGATTCTGCCGGTTGTTGGGTTGAGTCTTTGTTTTCCCTCATGTCATCTCTTGGTTTGCTCCGTGCAGCTCGATGGCCCGGCCGAGCAGCGCTCCTTCCTCGCATGCTGCAGGTGGTGGTGCTGGGAGTCCTGCGACGCGGCGGGGCAGAGTGGAGCGGAGCGGCGGCCTCTCCTCCCCAGGTACCTCCGGAAAGCACAGAAACTCAACTGCGAGCCAGTTACCACTGCTCTGGTGTACATAGTCTCCTCCTCCCAATGTAAGATAACATAGCCACGCGTTCATGGTAGTGCAGAAAATATTACTTGAATGCAGTTTTCAGTATTTCGGGCACCAGTCAGTAGAATATGCATTTGTCTTACCATTAGTTACTGGTCAATAGATTTCAGAGACAAGTGGGGGGGGGGGAAACGACAGATTTCCCCCCTCTACCCTAACCCGCTTGCTCCAATGCATGAAGAGGAAAGCGCGTGCACGCACTCACCCATCGCACTGCCACCACGGCACTGGTGTTGCACTTTTATTGGGATGTGCCTCATTCTGCCAAATTCCCGAGAGACCCTGGGTGCATCCGGTAACCACGACTCCGCTCCATTCCCCCGCTCCCCTTCTCCTTCCTAAGCCAGCACGGACTGGGACCGGCTGAACTCACTCTGAGCCCCATTGTACCATAGCGTGAAGTTAAGATCAAACCTAAGTATCTCCCGCGCTGTTCCGTAGCCACGCGTAACCTGCAGTCCTGGGCCAGGCTCCGCATGTGCGTTGGACTTTGACTTTGCTGCCTTTTGGGGGTTGTTTTTTGTTTGTTTCTGTTTCATTTTTAAGGGTTGTTGGGGTCTTTTTTCCCTTGTGTTTTTTTTTGTTATTGTTGTTGTTATTTTTAGTTTTGGCTTTTGCTGAATGGTGTCATTGAGGCGTAATGGAGGCTGCAGTTCCTATGGCAACACATTTGCACATTAATGTGCACACCAAATCTAACCACTTCAGAGAAGCAACGTGTGACAGATAATAGCATTTTGGGGGATGCTAGGGGGTTGGGGGGGGGCATACTTACTATCTTAACCAGCTGCTTGTTTGATAAATGTAGATGGCCTCACTGCAGCCTTCCATCAGAGGTAATTAACTGCTTTAATGATGTCAGATTTGTGAATTGTACAATGCAAAAAGCAATGCAAAGCAGATTCGGCATGTGTCTGTACCCGGTATGTATGTACAGTGCCTGCCAACTAAAGAATAACCAAGACTACAGCTTCTTCTAGCCTGAGATATCAACTTTTATAACTTACTTAAACAAATAGCAACTTTGCATGAATTACATCTTGGGGAAAAAGAAGGTTGGTAGGTTTTAACTTTTAAAGCGTGGTATCAGAAGTATACAGAAAACCATTTCTGGCTGCACTTAATTTGGGGTGGGTGGAGGGGTTCAGCTCTGTTAATACATTTAAAGGGAAAACCCCTTTAATTTAATTCCTGGGAAAAAAAAAAGTTACTATTTTATGAAGTATTATGGGGGGGGTGGGGGAACCCCACCACCTATCATGACAAACTTGACGAAAGGGTAGAGCATGTGTTAACCACGCTTGCACTTGCAAACACAATGGAAGCATCAGTGGGAGAGCCCCAGAGAAGGGAGGCGGTGAGGGGTGAGAGGAGAGGAGCTGTGGGGTGAATGGGGGGCAGACAGCATGGACCCACGTGTGGGATGCTGCCTGTGTCCCACTCCCAAGAGTCGTCCCTTCCTCTCCAGCCAAAAGCTCTCCCAGCACTGAGACGTGGCCGGTGATGCTGAATGGGAGCAGCAGGGATGGGGCAACCCCGGTAGCACGCTCAGTGCTGGGTTCTGACTGGGTCCAGCCTGTAGGGAGCCGGGGGGCAGAGTCCTAGTGTGTGTCCCAGCAATAAAGGGGGAAATGAGGATGGTGAAGGGCACTGTAGCAAGAGACCATGAGTTTAACTAATTAACAAAATTTCTGTATGGGGCACTATATTTTTAAGAGTCTTTCTATGCTGTACATTTCTCCTGAAGCTGAAATAATGTACTGTTGGTAGGGATTTTGTATAGTGTACAGAAATGGGCAGACTATTTTCTTGCTGCGTTCAGTGATTTATTACCCGAGGTTCAAATAGACAAATATAAAGTGTTAAAGTTGAAAGAAAAAAAAAAAACAACAAAAAAGACAAAAAAAAAACCAAACCACAAAACAGTTTGTGCCTTTTTTTAGTTTATTTTTCTGTTGCTATAGAATCACTGCACTAAAACCTTTCCAGAGGGGAAAAAAAAACAAAACCATGTCTCTTATTAAGGGAGGAATACGTGAAGCCGAAATCGAGTGTTGGTTTTTTTATTGGGGTATTTAATTAAAAAGAATGTTGCTGGTTTTATTTGATACCTGTGCCTTTGTAATAACTCTCCACATCCTGTCAGAAAAGCCAAACCTGGAATAAATCCCACCAGATCCCACAGATGCAGAACTACCATCAGGTTACCAGTATTTCCTTTTTAATGCTTGTAAACCTTAACTGATATTGCAGTACCTGATCGTAATGCCCTGTTGAGTTGCCTGGGCAGGAGGTGCTTTGGAAGGGTGCAGCTTTTGGGATGCTGTCTGCATTCCTCCCTGGGCACGCCGGGTGCCGGAGATGCACCGATGAGGATTGAGTCGTTGCCACTTGGCCAGTAGCTCCCGAGCAAATTTATTCCCTTAAATCTTCTGCCGGTTGCTTTGTGACCAGGCTGCTTGGAAAACACCCAGCTGGTTGCTCCCAGCTCTCCAGCAGGGACAGCTCGTTCCTGCAGGAAAGGGATCGCTGCCAAATCAGATGGCCTTTGCTCGCCTTGGAAGATGTTTCACCAGCCCAGGCAGGTGAAACACCATTGATCCAGCCCTGGGTTTTATTGAGAAGCCCATGCAGCTGCCAGTGGTGCAGCAGTGGAAGGTGGGTACAGGACCTCTGGTGGTGTTGCTGCTTTTCTATAGAATAGAATGCTCTGAATAGAATTAGACAAGGTTGGGCTTAAATGCATCAAGTAATACTGTTGTTTAATTTGAATTCTTGGGAAGCTTCCCTAAATGCGATAGCTTGAGCTCCGCTCTGGAGAAAGGATGCCAATGCTCTGCATGGCCTCTGGGCTCTGGACCTTGCCAGGCTCACCTGCTGCCAGCCAGGGTCCAGCCTGCCTTGCCCTGCTGCCTGGACCATGGTGCAGGTCACAAGGTGATGGGTTGAGGTTGAACTGCCTTTGGCAGATCCATCTGCTCTGCCTCTTTTAGGATGTCCCATTGCGCTTCCTGCAGGCGTGAGCATCACCTCCTGATTCTTCCCATCCCAGTTCAGCAAGCGGTTTGGTGCAGAGCAGCACAAGATGGTTGTGGGTCCTGAGCTTGTGATCTGGGCCTACTGCCAGAAACTCTTTGAGATCCTGTTGCCAGTTGTTGAGTCTTAATTCCAACAGAGACTCACATCAGTGTGAGGTGGGATTTGTTTTGTCTGTTTCTTCTTCCAAGGATACCTCTTGCTGGAGCACGGGGAAGAGCGGAGCATGTCTTGTGCTTTAACCTTGGTTGGTATATGGTGGATAGTGAGACTGCTTCAGACTTAGGCAGGGGATGTGTTGGAGATGTGAAGGAGCTCCCCCAGCTGTGCCTGGTGCCTGTTTTCACCTTGCTGTCCTCATGGGTTATCAGATCCTGAGCAAACTGGCATCTCAAGCACATACAATATTCAGCAATAAGCTCTGTGGGAAGCTGGGCCCCTGAACAGATCCAGGCCAATGATGCTGAGCAATCAAACCAACAGAGAAAGTAATTTCCAATCTTACTTGAAAACCTTGAACTGGTGTTTGTTGTAAATTCGGACCATGTTTTCCCTCCGTGAAGCAGACAGCACTTGCAAGATGCTTAGAAATTGAGGTTGTAAATCATCTCTGCTGGGAGATGCAGAAGAGTTTGGGGCATTGCCGTCAGCCAAAAGCCGTTCCTTGCCCTCACCTTGCCGTTCCTGTGCTCTCTGTGGGACTATTTCCGAGCAAGCCTTTACCTCTCTGAGTGTGCTGCAGGCTGTACCAGCACAGGACCGAGCATCAGGAGCTGGGCTCTCCCCTGCATGGTCCATCTGCTCCCATCTGCAGCACATACAGCTCAAGGAGCAGCCAGGGAAGCCGAAGAGAGAGATGCATGGCGATGGCTGTGGGGCTTTCCAAGCTGGCCATCGTGGAAGGAGATAGCTGGCAGCACAGTCAGCTGTGTTATAAAGAGGCTGCAAGGATGCTTGGTTCCCTCTGGGTCTGGCAGGGTTGAGCTGGTTGGCAGTGTGCAGGGGGATGGTGTGGGGCACAGAAGCAGGACCTGATGCTGCAGAGGTAGTTGGACCCCAAACCCAGTGTCACAGCTCACAGGGCACAAGTCATTGTGCTACGTGCAAAATGCAGCTGAATTCTTACAACGCAAAGGGCCAGCTCTGCATCTTGACTGTTTCGGCATCACCCATCGATGAAAGCAGGAGTAAATGACACTGGGGACGTCTGTCCCCAGGGCTGGGACCTGGACTGTCGTTTCCCCCTGCATTCGACCCATGGAAAATGAGGGTAATACTTGAGGTCATGAAGTCTGAATTCAGTAATCCCTGTGTAGGAGCAGCAGGTCAGCAAGTGGCTGTTGAGGTTTGGATGTGCCTCTTGGGGTCCCAGTGCTGCGGGAACAGAAAGTGCTGGGTGCCTGGTGGGGATCAGGACCCTTTCTTGCTACAGTCAGCTGCGAGAACAAAGTCCTGTGGTCAGAATTCCCAAGGGAACCGGGGTTTTGCAGAGGCTCATCGTGATCCTTGCTGCCTGTTGCTCACTGAACAGCTGGTCTGCTGCCTTTTAATTTGCCAGATTTGCTGGCTGAGGTGCAAATGGATAGGGACTGACTGCAGGGATTTCCGAACTGCCAAACGCACAAAGGCAGGAACTGGGTCCGGTTACCTCTGAATTAACAATCTCATTTTCAGAGTGCTGGGAGCCTC